GGTTTACATGAAATTTCTAAACCATACATTTTTCTAGAGACTTCTAGAGCACATATTTACATGAGACTTCTAGACCTTATATTCAGATTACATATTTTCATAGAATACTCTTGATAGAGTTTCTAAAACCACATAATCTTCTTATTACCACATTTATCACATCTTTTGCTTACATATTTACATAGATCTTTCTACAAAATGTTTCAAGAAATGCTAGGCCTTGTGTTTTTTAATTGAATTGCGCCTATGAGCAAAATCCTTAAACCCATATTACTTAGTCCAAAATCAAGTTTACTTCTCAACATGGGTGACATCAATGTTGACTTAAGCAGGATCATATATTCTTGTAGTTTTTTGGGGGCAGTTAGACTATTTTAAGTTTTCACTTAATGATGCTTTTGGAATATGTGACTTGAGAAACTCATAAGAAATTGATCTAATATACAATATGTAGAAATTCTCCATTTTAACCTTGTTATATGGCACTATTTATTTTTAACACTTGAATTAGGACTTTTTCTGCAACTTATTAGAATACATTGCTTATGAATTTCTTAATGTCAATGGCATTGCAGATGGCATACCTCACAACTGGAAGCAAAAATCTCAGAGCTTAGAAAAATGAACCAAGAGTTGCCGAAAAATAGGTGTATTAGTAATACCAGTCAATGTGGACTTATTCAAATGACCCTTAATGATATTGATATAAATTGTTGTTGTCTTTGTGTTTTGCTGCAGGTAGAGTTTGTAGAAATGCAGAAAATCAGGAATTAATTTTTATTTATACCTTTACCTTAAAAGAGACAACCAGTTGGGTGCTATTCATTTAGGTGGCAGAGTGTTCACACCTATTTTTCTCAAACTGTTTCATCACTGTTGTGAAACTGGTTTCATTGTTCATCCAAAATATCTTATTACTGTTCACTATTTAGCTTTTTATTAAACGAAAGAAAAGATCAGAGTAACTTCATTCCTTCTTCTTTGAACAAAAAGCCCTAGCAACGGTGAGTTTATCATTCAAGCTATGGCTCAATCAAATTCAAAGATTATGGCCAATTGAACTTAGGCAGGTTTTAACGAGATTG